ATGCTGACAAACAGTAGAGACATGACAGTTATGTTCTTAGTTATTTCCTGCCTGAGACTGACATGAGTATAAGACCAGGCTCATAGTGTAGAAATGTGTTGAAGCCCTGTCATGTGTGTGTTTCAACCTGTGTCTTTGCATTTTGCCCTCCTCTCTGTGTTCCAGTCAAAGAGAAGCTGACAGCAGATCCAGACAGTGAGATTGCTACAACAAGCCTTCGAGTGTCTCTTATGTGCCCGGTAAATAAGCAGCCATGCAACATGTGACACGTCTGAAGCGTTTGATTTCACGAGTCAGAACGAGGTGTCTACATGTAGTGTTACTAACCAGCTCCACAATAAACCCTCCTCACTGTAGAACTGCACTGACATAGAACTGCAGTCAGACTGTTTCTGTTCTATGGGACGTTTTGTGGCTTTGGACCTGAAAATATTTGGACAGCAGCACAAACTAAAACAGTGCTGCCATAACACATTCATAACAAAACAGTCAACGTGTAAGTAGTGTGCAGAAAAATGACATGAACCAAAAAATGAAGAGAAATCTGGACTCGTATGTAAACACATGGCTCTTGTCCCGATTCGTGATTGAGGTGAGAGACAAACGACCTCTGAGTGCGTCAAAACAATGATTTTATTAAACACGTGTGTGGAAAGATACACAGCTCGATATTGTCACCCCAGATCTCCCGTCAAAACATACTTTCAGCATGGTTTTACTATGTCAGGGTTCACGCCCCTTCTCGCGTTAGACAAAACATCACATTATGTTGTTATGACAGGTTATAATTAACGACAGTTCAACAAGTTTCCGTGTTTAACAGCATTTCCCCCTATATACTTCATGTTTATGTGTATGTAAGCGTGTTAGGTCTGCATTCACAGCATACAGGTCATTTCATCAATATATCAGTTCAGACATAACGCTGAACGACGCTTTTAACCTTCATTAGACTGTATGCTCAACTCTATCATGAGCACAAATGTCACACCATGATCGGATATGGGTCGCATAGGGTCAAAAAAATCGGATTTGATGCGCTTTCGCCTGCAGTGTGAAAGTAGCCTAAGTAGGAGCTGGTTGGGCCGAGGTCAGGTGAAGGCCACAGTGTTAAAACCTGCTGAGCTGTGATTATTAAACTCTGAACTCCCTTCAGTTCCAGTTGAGGCTGTATGGTTGAGTCTCCCTGCAGCTTCAACATTATGACAGCGTGCACA